ATATATTACATAGACACATCGGAGCACTCCAGTGGTGGTAATTAGATCTACTGAAAAGAAGATTCCTCAAATGATCAGGTATGATGTTTGTCCATTATATGATAGTGAACATGGGAAATCATAACAAGGAAAAATAAGAAATTTCTGCTGTTCTTAAACAACTCTCTGCTATAAGATTTTATAACTTAGAATGTACTTATAAGCACAGAAAGTGCTAGTATAATGGAAGAATGCTTCACTGTCTTCAAACCCTCAGTAGCTGTAGTAGAGAACAATATTATTTATTCAAGAGCAGAATCTAGAAGAAGAAAGTAAGGAGACTTGGGTATCTTGTATTCCTCTTAGCCTGAAGTCCAGAATATAATAGGAAAAAAAAAAAACCCTCTTGCTAGTAATAAAACAGAACAACAACCCCTCAAATTATTATTTATGTTCATTCATACTATGGATATGTTTTTATACTGTTAATCCAACTGACAATTTTCAGCCATGTTTAGGGATGCATTAGCACATTTACATCTATGTTATGCACATTTCTTCCTGAAGAAATTTATTTTCTCTCTCTCTCTCTTTTTTTTTTCTTTCTTTCTCTCTCTTTCTCTCTCTCTCTCTCTCTCTCTACTTCTTGGAGCTATTAAAAGATATTTGGAAGGAAATTCCTCTCCATGAACTGAAAAATTTAAAAAAAAGAAATGCTGCTCTCTTAGGGTGAAGGAGAATGACTCTGGCTTTATGGGCTCAGTAAAGTAGTTTTAATCAGGATTTCTTCTAGCCCAAGTAAAGCCAAGGACTCCTGCTGACAAAGATTATTAGTAATCTTTTCCCTGATTTCTGATGGATTAGAGCACAATGCTCAGGCGAATTAGCAGCATCATGGTGAAAAATAGAGGGAGCCTTGCTGGCTGTGTTTCTTTGCTAAATCTAGATTGAATGTCTCTTTCAACCTTTGCTTGTGGAAGTTCAGCCTGTGTTTCCTGCTTGATCTCTTAGTTTTCATTTTCCTGAGAGGGGCTTCAAGGCTGCAGGTGCTCTGCAAACTGCCCTCTCTGTTGCTGCAACCTGAGCCAGTGTCTGGCTGCTAATGCCAGGTACCTGCTGCCCGTGGAAATGCAGCTGCGGAAGAGCTCCCCGAGAAGGAGCAGCACAGACTGACCCCAGGGTTCAACAAGTGTTTGGCTGGGGCAGAGGTGTGCAAAGTGAAGCAGTTAATGAACTTTTAGAGGTTTTTCTCTTGCCCAATTATTTTGCACTGTGCCGTGCTTATAGGTTAATCATGGAAGGAGTTAATTAGTATTTTCATCATTTGTTCAATTTAATTATTTTCTACAACTTGCTAGGTCAGAATATCCAGATAATAAGAACGCTGGCTTGTCTGAGGAGCTGCATCTGATAAATGACAGCTCTTCATACCTTCATGGCAGGTATTTTGTATGTATTACCCAAGCAGATTTCACTGCTGGCAGTACAGTTGGAGACCTCCTTCCCTTGGGGAATACTGAGGAGTGCTAGGAAGTAAAAAAAGAGCAGCAGTAAAACCCCAAATATTTTTGAGCAGTAAATCTAGTGAGTGGCCAGTGATAAATTCATTGAGAAACCTAGGTGAGTTCACCCATAAAGGACTCTGAGTCCATTTAAAAGCGTTAAATGCATACTCCCCTCCTCCTGGCCTCTACTTGTTTCCTGGAAACAACTTACCTGTACCTGTTTTATTCCAGCCTCTCTTCCTTACAGCTTAGTTTTGTTTTAATCAGGAGTAGTGAGCTGCCTAGGTTTGGGGAAAAGGGGATGGGTTTCATGAATCAAAAGCAGTTTCTAGTTTCATGTGGTAAGTATCTGAGAGACTGGATGGGGACACAGCTTCTCCTTATGTGGTAGGGCTGAAAGGACTGAGGAACCTTTGCGAAGTTTGGTAATGTCAGAGGCAGTGATCAGAGCAATAAAACATTAATAATATAGTATTCAGAGACAACCACAGAGACATCTTTTATGAACTGGTTTAAGGGAGGTTTAAGAGCATTGCAAAGGAAGAGTTAATATCCTAATATCTTGTGTAAGATGCTGCAAAGACTATGGCTCTTGTGAGTCATGTGCTGGAAAATGGATTTCTTCCATGGCCCTCTCCCATGGTAGCTGCTCAGGCAGGGACAGAGCAGTGAGACGCCTGGGCTTCCCGCGCAGGAGGGATGCGCCGCGTTTCGTGTTCCATGAAGCTGCCCTCTGCTGCCGCTCATCTCCTCGCTTCTGGAGCCGAGGGCTGTGCTCGAAGCGCTGCTGCTTCTCCCCTGTGCTGCCTCTGTCTGCAGTGTCACAGAAGCTCAGCACAACGCATGCTGCAGTGGGAACCTTTTTTATTGTTCATTTTAGTCACCAAAGCCATATTTGGACTTGCCTACTAAAATATTGAAGAGGTTCCCAGGCTAACACTAGTAATGATTTTGCCACATTTCAAGCAGTAATTCTTAATTATAGTAGGGGAATGTGTTTAAGAAGCTCCTTGCGCCTCATGGGCCTGTTAAAAACTTCATTAATGAAATGTATAACAACCTAACCACATTACTGTTGCAAAATAACCCCCCAAAAATTCCTAAATACCTAGTTCTAAAATATTTAACTCTCTGTAATGGCCAAGTCCTTGCAGCTTAAGCTCCTGCATCCAGTATCAGGTAGCAGTTTCAAAAGGATAGAAGAGCCTGGTGTCTTAGTCTTGTCAATGCCCTTAACACACATGGGCCTCTTAGAAAATCCTGTCAGTTGCTTTTCTGATGTGTGCATTACCAGCTAATCTACTACTTCAGGGAAATTTAGAAGTCTAACTGTGATCGCCCAAGTTTGAGCATTCGACCCAATAGTACTTGTGGGCAGCACAGCCAGGAGAACTCTCCTGCTGACTCCTGACTAGTACCTGTCTTGCTGTTTGTCCCTAGCCTTTGTACAGAGATTTGCTACAGTTCCCAGCAGAAGGAATTATTTTAAAAGTTTAATGTGGGCAGCACAAGGAAATAGTCACAGCCTAGTATGGACTCGCATTGGACATCATGTGAAACTCTGGCTGATAACCGAAGCACTGTGTGTTGTCTGCTCTGAAAGGCCTTGCTATTGCGCACACACACCTGTTCTGCTTAAACAGAAGCATCATCACCGTTTCCTTGGTGTTAAATCACTTGGAGGGAATTCACTGCTGTGTTAGGTGTTTTGTCAGTCTTGTTTATTCACGCAATTCATAGAATGAATCATAGAATCATAGAAT